AATAGAATTCCAATACAATTCAGATTTAAGAAGATTAAACTAACCCAGTGATCTTTTTCTTCATTTCCAGGCTTAATCAAGTTTTTCCAATCAGGGAAGACTTTCTTCTTTTCAGTTGGTTGTTCAGAGATTGATACTTCTTCCATCTCCTTGAGCTGAATCATTAAAAGAAGAACCATGAATATGCAAGAAAAAAGTTTATGAATCATAGAGAATATGGAAGAATAGTAGTACTCCAGAACCTGAATGCTTGCAGCAGCTACCATGTCAAGGATATTGGTTGTGGTATAACTGTTTGACTTTAGTCTCACACGTCTTTCATCAACATCAATGGAACTTTTGGTCCAGAAAGCAAATATATTTGAATCCATTACCTATAAGGAAAGAAAGAATTTAGAGTTGTATTTCAGAGATTTCAAACTTTAACAAGAAATTAATTTGATGCAACATACTTACCTCCCATCTTGTTACAGATTCAAGGGAATAGAGTTTCAGTGTTCGGTTTGTTGCAGGATCAAGCATCCGAATACCATCTAAACCAATCTGCAGAGATAAGATCGAATTGAGTTTCTTTAAATACTATGTACTCATATGATCAAGAATTTGTGAAATGTATAAAACAAACCTGACATAGCACATCCATGTCTCCCTGAACTCCACCCCCTTCAGAGAGAAGAATTACACGGAATTTCTGTACTCCGCTTTTCACATCTTCATTCGCATGGACTTTTGGTGTAGCTTTTACAATCTTCGCATCATCCAATGATGAAATTGAACTCCTCTGCGCATTCCCGCCATCAGTACCAAAAGTTATAGGTCTCCCGTAATCATCAAATCTCAGTGCAGGCAACCTAGAAGACGAATGATCTGTCCTGCCGTTATTACCTCCATTGTAAGCATAGACATCTTCAATTACTTTGTCATTTTCCAGTGCCTCGATTACAATCTGCTCAGTCTTGCCACCATCAGGAACACCGATAGGTCTCCCATAATCATCAAACCTAACCGCTGGCACCTTAGAGGACTCCGCCTGCCTACCACTATTTCCTCCGGTGTACGCATACACACTTTCGTCAACTGTAGCACCTCCGAACTCCACAGCCGCCTGATTCTGATTCTGATCACACGATTGATGGTAATACCAAGAAGGTATCGAGTTCGGATCGTAACTAGGATTACTCGAATCAAAACTCTGAAACGTTCCATTCTGACGATCGTTATTAGGGTAGTGAGTAGAGGGGTGATTAGTGTAGTAATCGGAAGAATAGTAAATTGAAGGATCTGGAGGGGCTGATGCGTTGGTTGTAGAAGGGAAATGATCGAATGGGGGATTAGGAGTAGGGTTTTGGGTGTCAGATTGGTAGTAATCGTAATACGATGATGATGAAGGATAATTCATCTCGTTTTGGTGATGCATGTTTCAGATTAGGGCTTTGTTAGATCAAAATTTAGGGTTTAGATGGATCAAGAATGTTAGATATAGACTGAATCTTTGATATGGCGTGTGATGAAGACCGATTGTTATTTGTTGCAGAAGGAACACGAAGAAGGTAGAGAGAAAGTGTGGGTGTGGTTTACCCGCCAAAGATCGTTATCACATACGGGTCGGGTCCAACCAATGTCGATCGGAGCTATTCGGCGTTGTCTTTACGGAACTGTCACCGCGTTGATACCGTAACTGTATTTACGCGGAATTACATGTATGCCCCTTGGGTTTGATGCCAAGTGTAATGAATGGAAAATGTAGTTCTAGAAAATTCCAACCAAGATATTTTTTAAGAGTAAACTATATTTTTGTCTTCTACTTTTGTTAAAAAAAACCAAATCCTTTTATTATTTCGGTTTTCTGTACCTTATCAAAAAATTTAACTATTCTAGTATAAAAACCATTTGATGTAAAAACGAAGAAACACAATTTTAATATATTTTCTTAAGTGGTTAAATTCTCTTCAAATCTTGCTTATTCTTTTTATAAAGTTTTAGGTACTGTTTGTTTTTTCAAAAAAAACTTTTCAAACCACTTTCTGTTGTGCGGCGCAGCACACGCGCATCACTTTCTCTCTCGCAACAGTTTGTTTTTTGGAAGTCTTCAGACTACAAAACTTCTGCGCGTGTGCTGCGTGGCGCAGCACTTGACTTGCCTCTTCGAACCTCTTCAGCTTTCATTTTTTCCAAGTGTTTTTTTTTTTAGAATTTTGGTATAACTTATTTTTTTTTTTTAACTTTTTTTAAACTTTGATTTTTTTAAACTTTTATTTACGAATTCAATACAATTTTTTTTATAGTTTCCACAAATTTTTTTAACTTGATTTTTTTTTTTAAAAAAAAAACTTTGATCTTTTTAATTTTTTTACAGTTTATGTTAAAAAAAATTTACGAACTTTGTAGACATCGTTTGCAATACTTTCTTAATTTTTTATTATTATTTTTTTTTTATGTGTTTTAAAATTAGTTTTTTTCTAGAATAGAACTGTTAGCTTCTTTTAAATTTTTTTTATCTAGTTTTATATTTTTGTTTTTTTACATGTTCTTTTTAGCATTCTTTCAATGTTTAAAAACTAGAAATATTAAAATTTCGGTGTTGAGAACTATTTTCAGTTTATAAAATTAGTTTATTTAAATTTCAGTTTACTGCAGCAGTCTGCAGATGTTAAAAAACAAACATTCTTCTTATTATAGGTTGCAGGCGTTTGTTCCACCTCTTCTGCTACAGAGGATTGCAGAGGTGGTCCGCAGACTTCATGAATTTTCGCTTCGAAAAAACAAACAGCACCTTAGTTTAGTTTAATTGATCTTATTTTATTTACGTTGAATTTGTAACATGTTGTCAACATGAGAGCTCTAAGCAAAACGATTAAACAAGTGAAAATCACATATATCTTAATCAAACTATGTATTACTTCTAAACTGAATGCATCTCTCTTTGTTATAGAGTAAAATAATGATCTCTTAATGAAAAACCCACCAATCTCGTCCAACAAGATGAGAAACACTTCCCGAAACAAATGCAAGCAACTACTAGTCCTATAAATAATATATATGAATGATCAGGACGTGGTCGTAGAAGATATATTGGCTTTGGTCTTGACTATTTTAGTCGAAAACAAAGTTATGATCAAAACCATAACTCCTATCATGGAAGAGGTGATTATCGTAACTATTGTCATGGCCGGAAAAGTAATAATTACCAATCACCACAAATAAATAATGCTTTACCACAAGAAAAGACTAAAATGGCAAGAGACGGTGTCATGATATCATAGGATCGGGATGGTTCCTGTTATAGACGTGGTGGCATAGATTATTTGTTAATGACCTGTCAAACACCTACATATCTTTGTTAATTTTTGGGAAAATGAATTAAAAATGTAACGAAGTTTTCAAAATGTACAAAAAATATTATTGTTGTTTTTTTAGTACAAAAAATACCATTTGACCGGCTATAGTAGGTAACCATCATGTTACCCGGTTATTTACTACTTGGGAAAATGACTTAAAAGGGTAACAACATTTCTAAAATGTTCAAAAAATATCATTATTGTTATTTTTAGTACAAAAAATACCATTAAAGTATACAATTTGTACACATAATACCAATGAAGTACACATTTGTTTAAATAAAACCTTGCGGTCTCGGAGAATTAAACACAACTCCTACTTTGTGCATCCACATTTAGGAATTCTCATGACATAACGTCACACTCGCTTCTCTCTTTAACCAATGTTCACGTCGGAGAAGCATGGACTGATAGAAATCATAGATACATACACAACATGGATCATGTGAAAGCATCATCAACCCACAACCTTTGTAGTGCGGGAAAATCTGCAACCATTCCTTTGTCTAGTGTTTTTTTTTGTGTCTCTCCTATGTTAAAACACTAATAAACGGCTAACTCTTTAGCTTGATGTATAATCTGTGTATATATGTAACGTATATACATTTTAGGTTTGAGGCATATAATGCGATCGGGAAGCAAGAACGTTTAAGTGAGGTTATAACCCATTTACTTTTCATGTTACCACAAGGTTTTATTTGAACAAATATGTATTTTGTTGATCTTATGTGCTTGTATTTGGATACAAACCGATCAGTGAGGGAATGAAAGAGAGTATATAACTAGTGTGAATTGTTATGACAGTGCATGATCTCCAGTGACTGGGTTCTACATAATCCGTCAACAAAGAAGATAAAAAAAATGTACTTTGAAAAAACAATGATATTTTTTTGAACATTTTGGAAACTTTAATGGTATTCTTTTTGTACTAAATGTGTACTTCGTTGGTATTTAGTGTACAAATAGTATACTTCAATGGTGTTTGTACTAAAAAAACAACAATGGTATTTTTTAAACATTTTGGAAACTTCGTTACCTTTTTAAATCATTTTCCATTTACTTGAGATAATCGGTTACCACAACGTTTTATTTGAACAAATATGTACTTTGTTGATATTCTGTGTACAAATTGTATAGTTCAATGAAATTTTTTGTACTAAAAATCAACAATGGTATTTTTTTGTATATTTTGGAAACTTCGTTACCTTTTTAAGTCATTTTCCCTTAATTTTATTAGGAATCCCTTTAAGGAAAATCAAAAGAAATAAACCTCATTAAATGTTGAGTTTGAAAACACTAACAATAAATGTTTAAGATTTCCGCAATGGCATAGAAGCCTAAGACTTAAGATTTCTATTGTTTCTTGTAACCTGATTTTCCTAAAATAAATGAATCTTATTATAATAATTATGATTATGCTCATACTTATTATTTCTTTTATATAAAGCTCAATATAAATTCAAATGTAACATAAAATCAAGCAAATGTTAGAGATCTTTGTATACTAGATATAGGCACCACACATATTATTTTAAATTCTAAGATATATTTATGTAACACCCTAAAAATATAGTAAAGAAATAAAGAAATACTGACCATTGCATTGAAAATGCAAAGAAAATGAAGGTAGATTGCTATTTCGGGTTAGGAGGTTAAAGAAGAAGATAACCGTAGAAATGGGCCATTAAGTGAGAAAATGACCAAGAGATTAAGAAAAGATTTCGAGGATGAAATCTATTTAAGGGGTAGATTGTAAGAACCTGATATTTAGAGAAAGTTGACTTTTAGTCAAATATTGACCAAAAGGGCAAAATTGTTAATTATGAGAAAAAATGATGAGAATATGAAGTTGTGACTTCATGAAAATGGCCAATATAATTTTATGTAACTTATAAGAGGTTAGATGAGTAATTTCAAGAGAAATAATGCATGAGAAGATACATTTTTGGTCAAAAGGGTAGAATGATAATTTTTTGCTTTTTGGACCAACTTTGCGACTTAACAAATTAAGACTCGTATTAAGTTAGTGAAAAGTGACTTAATAGAGTTGTAGATTATGTTCCCACCTTCACGTGGATTGAAGAACATTGAAAACGGGTAAGAAACGAAGAAGTTATGTGCGTTAGAAGTTGGGACAAAATGTCCTAAAGCTGGAATGTAATCAACTAAGAGCTGCTGTCAATAAGGTACCACAACATGGTACATAGCTCATCGCAGCATGGTGAGTGATGATTAGGATTCAGACGCAGTGGCTAAAGCAAGATGTTATTGGGTGCTTAATTCATTAGGATTCAGAGCTTATTTTGATGGTTTCAAAAGGGAAATTGATTGGGATCTCAAAGGTGGTAATTTTTCTGAAAAAATCATGCCAAGAGAAGCTACAGATGGAGCTTGATAAGGATTTTGATCCTCTCTCCATTAAGGTAAGATTTCTCCATTTTTGGTGAAATGATTGATTAGAGTAGATTGGTTGAAATGATTAACCTATATCTTGATTATGATGTTAATGATAGTGTTTAGATGCTTTAATCGAGCTTAGAAAGTGATTTTCATGGTGAAATCTATGTATGTGAAGTTAGGGTTTGAAACCCTAACTAGTGATTATGTGTATTTGATGCATTATATGTTAGATTATAATGAATTAGGTATTATGGGGTGCTTAATTCATTAATTGATTGAGATCAAGAGATAGAGAATGAAAAGATAGAATTATGATCCATTAAGTGGCTATTATGACTTCAAGAGTCAATAGGCTCTTAATAGGCTAACACCAGTGTTCTAAAAGGCGTGATATGGCGCGCGAATTTGCCGTTACGAAAAGACTCATCACGTTGCTGTTAGGCGTGGCGCGTGGTAAGACGTGATATGGTGTGCCATGACGCGTTATGGCGCGTGTTTTTTCGTTGGAGACACATTTTTTGCTCTTTTTTATGCATTTTCTAATTGGACATACAAGTATTGTGTTTTTTTTTTTTACTTTTTGTTATTAGTTGTTGATATAAACACTTTTAAAAACTAGTTATATTTGATATAAATCAATATTTATGTGGTAATATAATTATAAATTAATACAAAATTGACGCCTTACATCACGCCTTGAAAAACGTCATGGCTCGCCATAACTCGTTAAGCTTGAGGCTTGGCCTTGCCGCCATGCCATGCCTCACGCCTTTCAGAACCTTGGCTAACACAAATATTAAGATGCTTGTATGTATGTATGTATAAATAGACATAAGAGAAAAAATGATGGATCAAGATGCATCAATTGAAGAAAGGAACCAGAGTGGGACAGTTAGTCTTCACTAACTGATAAAGTGA